TAAGTTTGAGGATTATTGATCATCGTCCCTTCCCGAGGCGGGAATGCCTCGTGCAGCAGGCAGGGCTGACCGCTGTGCAAACACCAGTTAGGGACACGCTTGCCTTTAACACCAGTCAGGTAATGGTGCTGGGGGTGTGGGCACACTGGGATTGCCCGAGCAGCCTCCATTGTCCCCAGCCATGATGGGACATCATTTCTGTCCCTTTGCACCAGAGAGGAGCAGGGAGAGCCCACGGCTGCAGAGGAGCCCTGTGCCTTTTTTTCCCCTTTTCATCCACTTTCACACATAGCCCTAGCAAACAAGGCTGCAGCATGATCCCTGTCCTCCTCTATGCTATGAGGGGGCCCACGCCATGGCCAGGTGCTCATTTTGGGGTCCTGTGTGGAGTCGCAGGGGCAGGGTATGGGTTTGGCAGCCACAGCATCACCCCCTCAGGCGCTCCCAGCAGCTCCCCCTGCCCCAGCTGAAAGCTGCGGTCCTGAGCAGCCCCTGCCCTCAGCTGTGCTCTGGGGGGGTTGCAGTGCCCCGGTCCGGGGCTCCCCCCATCGCACCTGGCCCCGGTGGGGCTGCGCCCTGCGAGCAGAGCTCAGCCCAGGTGGGAGGGACCGGGCTTCCGTTAAATCCCGCAGCCCTCGCCCAGTGCTGGCTGTGGAGCTCAGGTGTTGGTGAAGGCATCGCAGGAAGAGTGGGCACAGGAGAGGGGACGCGGCTCAGGTACCCAATAAGTGTGGATTTTAGGGGCTGCCTCGACTTTTTCTGTGTCTCATTTTCCCTTTAATTCTTCACAGTTTGCACTGGTTCCTTTCTCCCACCACTTCTCTTTCCTCTGCGGCTGCTTTGATTTAGCTGGTGATTGCGCTTGTTCCTTGGGGGAAATTTCTCCCTGGGAGAAATCAGAGCCCTGGGAAAAGCCCCGGCATGGGCATCCTGCCCAAGCGATGCTGCTTGGGTGTTATCCTGGGGAAGGGGCTTCTGCTCTGTGGGAAATGGTGTGGGACTGTGCTTATTGCTGGGGCTGAGGTTGTGGACTCTCCCCAGCAGTCTGCGGGGGTTATTTAATTAGCAATTAGCTTTCTGATTCACTCAGAGCTGGACGCCTGTTTAGGATTTCCAGTGGCTCACATCTGTACGAGGGGTGTGCAATGCTTCGTTCCCTGAGCAAGCTCAGCCATAGAAATCAGGGTGTGAGCGTGTCTGCGTGTGCGCACCCAGCTTTTCCGTGGGAGGCTGTGGTGAAGTGCAGAGAGGTCACAGCAATAAAACGCCACGTGGTAGCGAGGAGTGCGAGTGGCTGGAGGCAGTGGTTGGTGTGGGGAGGAAAAGCTGCTCTCTGTGCATTAGCCAAGGTTTTTGGTACAGTCGTGTGTCCCTAAGGCAAGGCCAAAGCCTCGGGGCTGGGATCAGTGTCAAGGGATGCTGTGAAACCAAAACCAAGGTCCTGGGGATCTGTCCTTGCATCAGAACATGGGGGTGATTGTGTGGAGGCTCCATGCTGGGAGGGAGTGAGGTGTGCCCTGGGTCTTAAGTGGGAAAACCCCAGGCTGGTGCTCCCAGGAGCTCGGTGGTGTCTGGAAAGCCTCAGATTCCTGTCGCTCATCTCAGATATCCCCAGGATGAGCTAACTTAGCCTGGTTTTGGACAGACACCCTCTTCTAGAGATGCTCTCCTTGCTGCCTGCTCCTCGAGCTTCTTGTCCCCCCAGACCTTGGCAGGGCTGTCCCCGGCTCCAGGTGCCCCGACTCCCCCGTAGCTGGAGCTGTGTTAATATTTGCCATACAATAGTGCTGCGCCCTGTTCTGCAGGCAAAACACAGCACAACCATGGCAACTCTTTTCCTCAACCCCATCAGCACACCCTGCCAACCTGGGCAAGTCGCCCCAGGCTCCAGCAGTAATTAAGCCGTGGGTAACGAGGTCTGCAAGCCCTGAGTGCCCCAGCAATGCCCTCCGCCTTCCCTAGAGCAGGGCTGGGCAGCAGCCTTGTCATTGGGAGGCTCAAAACAACCCAACTTGGCAGCTGGGTTTGCTGTTTTGGGGTCTGCACCGTTGGGGAATGAGGCTGAGTCACGGCTTGGGTGTCTGAGCTCCAAATAACAGCACTGGGACGGCCAGGCCTTGGCGTCCACAGCTGAGCAGCAGCGCTTGGACATGGCCATCACCTTCCCCGATCAGCTGAAGCCTGGGGCAGAGCTGGGGTCTGGGAACAGAGAAAGCTGGGGTTTGGATCCGCACCGATCCCACCGTGCTCCAGCAGCCGGAGCCAGGACACGGCCCCACAGCCAGGGACATTGCCAGGTGCAGGACCCAGGGGCTGGGTCCCTGTGGCTGGGCCATGAGGTGCCCCTCGGGTTGGGATGGGTGTGCAGGCATTATCGCACCCCTGGGGTGTGCCTGCCACAGCCCTGGCCCCAGGGCACCCCATTCCCCTGCCACCACCAGGGAGGCACCCAGCGCCCTCCCTCCCACCTCCCCACACCCCCTGAGGTGCTGCAGCTCTGGTCCCAGTCCTGGCACCCCCAGCCCAGCTCCTTTTTACTGTACCTGGGTGTTTGGTGTTTCCATATCAGGGGCTGCCTGCGGGACTGGGCTGGGGGTGGAGGGAAACACTGGGGTTACTGGGCTGAACCAAGCGGGGTCCCTTGGTGCAGCAGGTAGCGAGCATTTATGACTGTGTCTGACTTCATTCAAAATCTGGGGCTTTTTCATCTTGAGGGCAATTCTTGTCCACAGCCTGTTTCCAGAGACTGTAATTTCCAGTTGTCCCAGTTCATTTTCATATTTATGTTATTATCTTTTCATGTTATTGTTATTGTTTTGCTAAACCTGTTTTAGTTTTCTTTACCAGCTCGTGAGTCTCTCTCCCTTATTCTCTTTCTCCTCCCATTTTGGGGAGGGCAGAGGGGCTCACAGAGAGTGTCTGTCCCTCATGTAGTGCCCAGCCCAGCCCTAAACCACTCTAGCTGTCTTTGTGGCCAGCGTATTGCCATTTCTTCTTGTTTTATCCTCACCCAAGCTCCAACATCCCAGCTCCTTCCCAGTGCTCCAGTACATCCAGTGCTCCCAGCTTGGCTGAGCCAGCCCAGCCCATGAGGTCTGGGGTTGCCCCTGCCAGGGCTGCGATCCCACTGGGGCCAGGGCCATGGTGTGGCTATCGGCCACCCCGTGATTTACCACCCTTGCCCCAGCCCTTCCTTTGTGCCCCCGAGCAGCAGAGCCTCAGCCAAGGCTTGAAATTCCTGCGAGGAGCCCGGGAGATCTCGCTGCAACCCAGAGAGGGGAAGGGAGGAGAAGTGGGGTTTGGAGGCTGATTCTGGCAGCACCAGGCATGAGAGAGATCAAAAACTTGGGGCAGGAGTACAAGAGCGAGGGAAGCTGTTGCGTGCATGCTCCTGGATCTCCGGCAGCCCCAGTTCATGCATACCGCACGTTATTTCTGTACCTACTTAAATTAAAACCAGCCTTGTCTCGTGGCCGCTGACTGGAGCCAGGCAGCTCTGCTCCCCAGGGGAGAATCCGATTTTCCCTCCATCCAGCTAGTGTTTCTGACCTGGGATGACTCGTCTTTATTTAACCAACGCTCCCTCCCAGCCTCGCACCGTGCAGCAGTGCCCGTGGCATCACAGCACACGTGTGCCCAAGATGGGACACGGGAGCGGGCAGACACCAACCCGGGATCCCACCGCAACGGCTTGGTTTTCATGAGTCTGGGCTCTTCTGGGTGTCCCTTTGTCCAGCAATGAGAGGCTTTTTGGAGGTTATACAACTCACCGAGGGCAATGCCAGCCTGTTTTGAGCCGTCCTGGTAACCGCTCTCGGCACCCAGTGTTAGTCACGGAGCTCCAGACGTGACGCACCGCGCCGGCACCCTGCCCTCGCCCGCGGGAGGCACAGACCGGTGCCCCGCAGCAACGTGGCTCTGCCTTCATCCTCTGACTCCATCGTTAATCAGCCCGAGATAGCGAGTGAATAAGGCACTCATTCACGGCTATCGCAGGCAAGGACAAATGTTTTCATACGTGTAGCCCCATGTTTGTGTGTGTTGCACTCTCCATCCACGCAGGATGGGGAGGAGGAGCCCTGAGCTGTGGGATTAGCTCCTCTCTTCGAGCATTTGGCTCATTGGTCCCCCCCAGTGCTGCCTTCCCCAAGGACTGGAGAGACTGGGCACGTCTCCATGCAGTATAGCCATGGGGAACACGCTTGGCTTTGACATCCCGAAGCACTGAGATGTTTTTAGGTTTTGGCTGCCATGGGGGTTACAGGAGGGGGGACCCCACATGTTTGCAGTCAGACAAATCCCCCACCTTGAAACTATCTCCTGAGACCTTGTCTCAAGGCCCTCAAGAGAAACTTCCTCTGCTGTGGGCTTATTTTAACAGCAAATTAAAAAAACCCTACTTTCTATCTATAGCAAAGCCAGGGCGTATTCAAAGTGTAACAGCAACCGGATTCCTCGAGCAGCGCCTGGGCTGGGAAAGCGGCCGCACACCCAGGCTGCCAGGGCTCGGCTCTCCTTGCACGAAACACCCCCTCGGATGGGCTCGCTGCCTGCCATCGCCTCTGCGGGCGGCTTCCCAGGGTCGGCATCCCATGCAAAAGCTGCGAGCCTGATGCTTCATTTCATTCTTAACCAAAAAAATAAGCAAACAAGGACAAATGCAGTTTTTAGGCCTCTGAATCCTGAGAAGCTGCTGTAAATGAATCCCCCTGCACTTGCCCGGATGCACGGTGGCACCAAGAGCAGGGCTGGGGGGTGGGAAGGCACCCGGGGTGAGCTGTTTTCTTATGAGCTGAATTCCAGCTTTGCGCTCCAAATCCCTGATTTTTATAGAGTTTTCCGCTGATGTCGGCTCCTGCCCGGGGCATGGCTGTGTAACCGCTCCTCTCTGCATTCCTCAGATTCTTTCAGGCTGAAGAAGGGCTCCAGGTCCCTGCTGGAGAGAGGAGGAGGGAAAAGGTTTCTCTGGACTCCAAGCCACCAAGCCCAAAACCCGAGCCATGTCGCAGGTCATGCAGAACCACGTGCTGCGCGTTGGACAGACCGTGTGCGTTTCGTCGCGGGAGCAAAGCAGGACCCTGCGCCCGCCGGGGTACCCGGGCTGCTCGGCAATGAACTGCGGCTACTTCTCACCGCAGGGCTGGGCTGAGCCACCCACAACGCTGCCCGGCGGGGGGCTGTGTGGAGCCCACCCCCAGTTTGGGCATGAGGCCGTTCACACACAGGGGATGGGGCAGCGGGATACGCCCCTGGACAGACCCACAGCCTCCCAGCAGCCGGAGGAGGAGGAGGATGCTGGCACGGATCACCTGGTGTCCCCTACCTTGGACATATCCATTGAGAGCCTCAACCAGCTGATCCTTGAAATCGACCCCACCTTTCAGCCGCTCACGTGTGAGCCAGGGAAGGACGTGGTCCAGCGCACGTTTCAGGGTGACGTTGCTGCCACCAAGAAACCGGAGCCAGAGGCAATAGGTGAGGCAAATGGTGCCAGTTGTGTGGCACAGCCTGGTGAGATCCCTGATGAGATCCATGGTGAATTCCCTCTGCCAGAGGCAAAGGGGAGCCCAGGGCAGGGTGGCCAGGCATGCAGCCCCCTCGGCTGTGGGCAGGATGAGGCCCTGCGCTCCTGGGTTGGCAATGGGCATCAGTGGCATCCCCTGCCGTCGCCATTTGGATCAGTGTGGGATGCTGTCCCCTGAGGTCAGGGATTCATGGAAAGCAGCAGGAGCATAGACTGTGGACCCAGGCTCTTTGCTGGACATGCATGTGCTGGGGTGGCCCTGGTCCCAGCCCTTCCAAAATGTCTTGTGTTCAGCTCTCTCAGCAGGGCCAAAAGACACCAGGGGAACAGCTTTAATTCAACCCCTGTTTGTTCATTTCTAATGAAATGGGACTTGCAGCTCCCAGAAAACACCCAATCCAAACCATTACGGGCAGTGACTGGAGGCAGGCCCTGGCTGCAGGGTGTGATGTGCACAGTGTGCTCGTCCTCGCCGCAGAGCCTCGGGGCCGTGGAGCCATTCCCAGGCTCAATTCCAGCCAGATTTCCAGAGCCCTGGGCTGATCCTTACACAACCGCCCCGCTTGCGCGTTTCCAGCCCCTTTGCCAGGGAAATTCTTCTCCCAGGGCTCATGTGCTCCTCCAGCAGCAAACCTGGCACACATGGGGTGTTCTTCCTGCTTCCACGCCTTACGTGAACCCTTTCACAACACCTCCATCATCCCTGCTCCCCAAAGCTCTGCTGGGTGCTGCTGCTGATCCAGGCACCTGTCCCTGGGGATCTTCTTGTGTGTGTGAGCTGCTCAGCACCGTGCATGTGTCAATACCTGCAGACAGCGCAGTTGTGGTGAGTTGGAGGACAGGCTGGTCTGCGGTGTTTCAGTGCCTAAAGATTCATCCTCACTGCTTTTCAAAAGCCTTGTTGCCTACCTGTGTCTTTAGACCTCAAAATACCTGGAAAATCTGTCCCCAAGACTCTTCCCAGAGGAAGGTCAGATGTTAAAGGTAGGGAAGATAATCCCACTCATCCCGAGCCCTCGCTGCGGACTCGGACGCCTCTTGCCAGGCGCTGTGCTCGGAGGCCGGGGGCAGGTAGCATGCTCGTGGCTTTGGAAATCTGTCTCCGAGTGCAGAAGTGAACATCTGGAAACCTGGCCCTGGATACAGTGGGAAAAGACTCGCTTCAGCATTCATTTTCTTTTGACAGCTCTTCTTTTTCTAGGCAAACCCCTCCTTTCTGCACAGCATCCCCGTTCACCCACCTTCCCTCTCCCACCTCACCGGCATCGCTCCTATTGGGCTCCTGTCTCCTTTTCTCCCCCTGGCTCCATGGGGCCCCACTGCACTTTCTGAGTCATTTGCACCCCTCTTTTTTTTTGCCTGCAAGCATTGTCGCTTAATGTGAGGGCTGGCAGGAGACCAGTGATGGGGATCAGTGGCCCAGGAGGGGCTTGTTCTCAGCTGATGGAAACCACAAGAGATGCTGTGGCAATAGGAGACGCCGTTCGTGGGGGTCACCGCCTCCCTTGACTGTTCCTGCAGGGAGGAGGGTGTCTCTCTTGCGTGACAGCTGCTCTCAGTGTTTGCGGTGCTTTTGCCACTCCTTGGTGCTGGAAAACTTGCCGAGGTCTTGGGCAAATATTTGAGGTTTGACCACACCTGATAAGCAGGAGCGAAGGCAGAGCAGTAAGAGGCGAAGGGCCTCATTAATGTAGGGTGCAGATGCTTTTGGGTTATTTCTTTAAAGGACAATTAAAATCCCTGTTTCTCTTCCCCATTTGAGGGAGACACTGACAAAAAGCATCTGGTAAAGGGCTGCTGCTGGGTTTGTGGCTGATCCCAGGCCCGTGTGGCTCTGGGAACAGGCGCTAGAGCTGCTGTGGAGGGGGAGCTCCATGCCCAGATATTTTTCTCACTGTGAATGGGGTCTGCAGCTGCTCTGTCCTTGCCAGCCATACTCAGGGCAGTGACAAAGCAGGCTACGTCCATGTCAGGGCGCTCAGGGCTGTTCAAAGCAGTTTTCCATTGCTGCAGCAGAGGTTTTTCCCTCTCTTTAAGAAGAGGAGCTTTAGTGAACTCTATGGCAGGGCAAGAGCCAGGAGCTGAAAACAAACCTGGGCACGTTCGGGCTCGAAGGGAGGCGGAGGTGATGAACCACCAACGGCTTCCCCGGGGAGGCGGTGAATTCACCATCACTGCAAGCCCTGAAACCAAATCTGGGTGTCTCTGGCTAAAAGACACCCTCTAAAAGGCAGAGGGTCCCTCATGCTGCTGTGCCCAGCCAGCCCAGGGGGCGTGTGGGGCCATGCACCTCTACCATGGGCACCCCCCGAGCCCGGGGAGTAGCCGGATGGTTTCACCGTGAGTCAGGTACACCCGGCCGGGAACACCCTCACTTGCTGCAGGTCCCAGCAGGGAACAGCCCCGCTCACCACAGGTCTCAGCAGGCCCCAGCCGTGTGGTGCTCGCAAGGGTGGGTCTGCACTATGAGATGTGGCCGTGGGTGCTGGCGCCCTTCCAGCACCGGGGATGTCATGGGGGCTCGGTGTCTGTGAGGAAATCGGCCCTCATAGTGGCTTAATGAAGGCCAGCGTCTGGCTACACAGCGTCTCCCTGCAGAGAGATTTTGACAAATCAGAGCCAAAATTAATAGTAAGAAGACAGAGACGTGGGTGTCCCCTGGAGCTTAGCTAATGAACCGAACTCATGCACAGACTCGGTAACGACCTCCTCTTTCTCCCTGCAGACATTAAATACATCGAGATGACGCCTGGCAGTGCCCTGAGTCCCGTGCTGCTGCGGGGCCCACCCCCCTGCAGAGAGATTTTGACAAATCAGAGCCAAAATTAATAGTAAGAAGACAGAGACGTGGGTGTCCCCTGGAGCTTAGCTAATGAACCGAACTCATGCACAGACTCGGTAACGACCTCCTCTTTCTCCCTGCAGACATTAAATACATCGAGATGACGCCTGGCAGTGCCCTGAGTCCCGTGCTGCTGCGGGGCCCACCCAGCCCTTCAGCCCGTGCTGCTGCGGGGCCCACCCAGCCCTTCAGCCACCCCAATCTCAAGGTCCCCCCAGGGCAACGGCTTCCTGCCCCAAAAAGGGGGGATTGGAGGGAGCCTGGTTTTCTCGAGCTCCCCCAGACCCACAAGCCCCCGGCTGGGCACCCGAAGCCGCGCCGTGTCCCCGACCAGCAGCAAAGCATCCGAATGCGTGGCTGTGCCCCGGCCATGCACAGCTGCACAGACCAACAGCATCTCCTATGGCCCCGACACCCCCGGCTCCTCCCCGGGCCTGGACGCACTGCTGAGGCCAGTGCAGGTGGTGAGGGCGCAGAGGAGCAGCCACATCTCCCTGCTGTCCACCAGCCCTGGCTCCGACACCAGTTACATCCTTGGCAGGTAAATGGGAAATGCCACTGCGTGCCCTGGCCGGAGGGTGATGATGGGGATGAAAGTGGCATGGGACGGGTACCCCAATTCTGCCATCCCACACCTCCTTCCTCAAGGAGTCAATGGTTCATGGGGTTGATGCGGTCTCTGTCGGGGTGTTGTGTCCCAAATGACCCCACTGATCCCCCTACTCTCTCTTACAGCAGCACCCACTCTCTCCACCACGACGACTCGGACGCTCACCCCGCTGCCTGCGCGTCCCCCGCCAGCCCCTGTCCATCCCCTGCCACCACCGGGTCTCGCTCTGAGGAACCTTTTGGGCTGAGCCTCCCCCAGCCTGTGGCTGCCTGCTCCCCCAAAGCCTCCCTGTCCCCAAAGGGCCAAGCCAGCAGCTGCCCTCCCTCCATCCTCAGCTCTGCGGCCGAAATCCCGGTGCTGCTGGTCAACGGGTGCCTGCAGCAGGCAGAGGAAGCATTGGGGCTGCCTAGAGCCCCCCCAGCCATCACCAAGCAGAGCCCTCCACCCAGCGGCCCCCCGAGGCTCGGTGGCCTGAACGCTGCACTGTCGGCACCAGCGCTGTCCTGCGCCCCAGATGGTGAGCATCCCCTCCGTGGGGCAGGTCTGGGAGGGATGGAGATGGAGACCCCAACAGCTGTCAGGGAAGGGGAGTGAGTGCTGGTTCCTGCTCTGGTTTGTCAATGTGAAGGACGGGGGGTCCTCACTGCGTCCCCACGGGGCTGCTGGGCTCTGCGGTGGTCTCTGGCTCTTTGCTGGTGACCCCGCATTGGCCATGGGGGTTTGCCTGTGGATCCAGTTTCTCCCATGGCAGAAACACTCCGGTCCCCTCAAGGAGATGCAGATAAACAGATTTAGAGCACCTGAGAATGAGGGCCATAATCCCGTCATTTCGTACCTGTTTGTGGGTCCAGGATGGGAGGGGAGTGGGGATTAGAGTCCCAGTTTGCTCTGGAGGACGTCTACAGACACCAGTGTCTGTCAGGTCCCTCATTCAGGGCACACACTGAAGTTATTGTTCTCGGAGATCAGCAGAGGCAGCGCCAGGGCAGGGGTTTTAATTGGGATTATTATGGGAAAAGCAGGGGAGCTTTGGGTCAGATCCTGAGCTGGTGCAAACCCATGGTCCATGGGCTTGTGCAGGGCTGGGCTGGGCCTTTCTGTGTCCCATCGCCGCCTGCCAAGAGAGATAATTACATGGAGGATTAATTACTCTGAGAGCAGGGAGGATGGTCTGATCAAAAGGTTTTTTAAAAAAAGAATTTCAGCCCTGTCTGGCTTGAAAGAGACCCATCTCTGCTGGGCCCTGTCCTGTTGGCGATGGCTCCTGTGCAGCTTTTGGGTCCCTTGCTGGCCCTCACACCCCATGGTCTCTTACAGGTCCCCTCGGGACTGGGCAGCCCACCATGAAGTTCGTGATGGACACCTCGCGGTACTGGTTCAAGCCAAGCATAAGCAGGGACCGAGGTACGCAGCGAGGGTCTCTGTCAGGGTAACCCCCCTCGGGATGGGGTTTGCCTCCCCACAGCCCTTTAGCCCGGCTCTTGCCCGTGCTGAAGTCCTGTAGGGACTCAATGACAGAAATTCAAAGTATCCCGTGGCTGATGGGCATGGAGAGACCTGCTCACAGATTGGGGGATGGCTCAGTAGTGCAGGCTGTGCCCCCCAAGTCCAGCAGAGCTGCTCCTGCCCCAGTGCTTCCCCTCAGTGTGTGCTGGGCAGGGGCTGTCCCAATCCTGGGACCCATGGGGCTGAGCTGGGGCCCCTCAGTCCATGGGGTCACTGTGGTCAGGATATGCACATCCTCAGCCAAGTCTTCGACATCTTCCTCGCCACTGCCAAGGAATGGCTTCCCCCGAGAGCATTGGAGCGCAGACGGGGGAAGTTTGACTTGGCTGAGC